TTTATGATGAGTGTGTAAGTATACCATTATGTCTTTAATTAATATATAATTAACGTTGTGTCTTTAATTATCGATATTTAAATGAATTACAGGAGACTATATCGCAATCGGTATCCACGGGTGATGACCGGAATATCAGGAGCATACTCAGTCGAGCACTATGTGTTGCTGAGTATCCGGGACGAGTGAGGGGTAAAGGCCATGGTGTGACTCCTACCTCTCTGTATAACAATCCAAGAAAAAGAAATCCTAGCAATGCAGAAGTGATGCAAACATTACAGGATTTACAAGCACAAGTCCGTGAACTGCAGAGGGACAAAGAGAGATATATGGCAGAAAGGAGCAGTTCACAGTTGAAAGAAACTAGTGACAAGGCTAGTATCAACTGTCAACAAAATTTTCCCGAGGTAATTAAGATGATAATCCATTATATTTAGAGAAAGTATAATTATAACGGTTATTATTGTCAACATTAAAGGAAGTCTAACGGTTATTATTGGTTTAGGGCATTCTGATGTCAAAGGGAAGCACGAGTACCACGGTCTAAATCAAACAACATTAATTGGATCAAAGTACAGGTATATAAATTTCAACAATTTTGCTTATAATATTTATGCTACTTGATAAATCAATAGATGTGTATAATCTTATTTGTTTTTCTATGTAGTGCCCTCAACAACAAAACGGCATAGATTGCGGATACTTCGTTTTGAAGTTTATCAAAGAAATCATTCAAATGAATGAAATCGAGATTCCAATCACGGTATGGATTTATACTTTGTTTTATTACTTATCGGATTTTGCATATAATTTATTACATTAAACTAAATCATGCATATATTTTGTTTTGTAATGTAGTATTTTGATCAATACAATTGTCCATATTACTCGCCACGTCAATTGGAAGAACTCAAAGAGGAGTTGTGCCAATATTTTATTGAGCTAAGAATCTTATAATAAGGTACGAATACATTGTTGTGTGAAAATTGGTTAATTATGAATATATTGTTTTGTGTATACAACACTGACCGTGTTATTATGTTCATATTGCAGGATCAGGACCTTGGATATATATGTAGATTATGATTGATTTACTTAGTGTTATATAGCTGATTTCTTAGGGTGTATTTTGTTACGTTTAAAACATGTTAATATTGAATTACCATGGTGTATATATATATTTTGGATATGAATTGATTATAATGGTATTTGTATATATATATAATATTTGGTATTTGAATTACATTTGGTATTTGGATTAAAACTAATATATATTGGTATTTCTAGATTAGATTGTAAAATACCGGTTTAAGAATTACAGGTTTGCTGCAAAAAAATGCAGGTTTAGAAATTTTTTAAATTTTAGATTTTTCAGTAGAAAACCTATGAAAGCGCTTTTAAGAAAAAAGCGCTTTCATAGGTAGGCCTACGAGAGCGCTTTTTTCTGAACAAAAAGCGCTCTTATAGGCCTACTTTAGATTGCCTGACACGCATTCTGAATACACCTATGAAAGCGCTTTTTCAGAAAAAAGCGCTCTCGTAGGCCTACCTATGAAAGCGCTTTTTACCAAAAAGCGCTTTCATAGGTAGGCCTACGAGAGCGCTTTTTTCTGAACAAAAAGCGCTGCTAAAACCTTTAGCAGCGCCACCTATGAGAGCGCTTTTAAGCGCTTTTAAAGCCCAAAAAAAGCGCTTTCGTAGGTTATTTCTGGCATAGTGCGCCCTGCTCGACGATAGTGTACGCGCTCCGACTGCGCCGACTATAAGCAGAAGCAATCCCTCTGGGCTCAGCGCCCACCCACTCTAGCAAAGGATCATCAATGGTATCGATCAGAGTCACATTTTCCTCGGTGCTTTGGTCTTCCACCTCGTTGCGCCCCGAGGAACACGGTTCATCAGCCATTTTTACCTGCAAAGCACAGGAAACCGGTCAATTTGGGAGAAAATCCATACGCTCGCCATAACTGACGGGAAGAAGGGCACGACAAGCCGAGTCATACTCCACACACGAGTAAAACGTTGAGGATTCGAACAAAAGTCTGGTGTCACCTCCCCGACGCCAAGATGCCACGACGAGTCGTCCTACATACTGCCTAAATGGGCCAACATCCTGGCCAGTCACGAGTACGTCGACCTAAGCTATGGATATGACGAGCAATATCATGAATCCTAAACCTAGAACTATGAGTTTACCGGGCAATATCATGAGTTAGGCGCCCTGAATCATGAAGATCCCGGGTAGCATTGCGAGTCACATGCCTAAACTATACGTTTACCGGGCACAAACATGCGTTCATCGAGCATAAACATGAATATGCCGGGCAAGAATACGAATGTACCGGAGCTAATCCTAGACGCATATTTTCTAACATACAAATAATGGAAAAAATCACCTACCACAGAGAAAAACATGAGGGATAAAACGCTTACTTGAAAATCAGGAAAGAGGTACGGTGGCGGAGAAAAAGATCGACGGCGGAAAGCACGGCGGTCCTATGAAAGTCTGGAAAAACAGCAGCGGCAAAGGAAGAGGAAGGAGGAGAAGCGCGAAGAGGAAAAACATATTATGGGACCCAAGGATCCTATTTATAGTGATGACGTGGAATACGAAACGTCACCCCAAGGAACCACGAATTTCCCCTCCTCGACGCATAGCTCCCCTAGGCAATGATGGCTCTATCTTCAATAGGGTGGCGTCACGGTTCCTAAGGGTTGTCTCGTGTACTCAACGAACACAGCCCGCCGAGAGTCCCCCGAGCACTCCTCGAAAGGAATTATCTCACGAATGCGACACATGAGAAACTCCTCGAGCAACCACGGGGAACCAAATATCCTGGCCGAGCATGAGGCCCCGTGGCAAAGGCGAGCTGAGATCAAGTCATAACTCCTGCTCCAGGAGCCACGACTTGGGGGGCTCCTGTTCTGGACTGGGCCCAGGTTGGCCCAAGAGCAAGAATGAAGGCCTAATCCAAACAACTCTACAAGGAGCGCGTCGACCAGAAGCTACAGCCGTGTCCGCCGCTGCCCGCGAACACAACATCCTCGACCACATACAATCCAGCTCGAGCACCCTCGTCGTAGGGCAGACTATGACTGTTACTCCATCACCTGAACTCCCGAAAGACCGCGTCCTCGTCCGTCCGTACTTCTCGCTGAGCATCACCAGGGAGAGGACCACGTGCGGGTCCCCACTACACACGTAAAATCTGGCAGTTCTTTTATTTGGCCAGTCCTGGTCGGCCCAATAACGGGACCTTGGCCCCGCGCTGGGGGCTATAAATACCCTCTATTCCTAGAGGGTCAGGTATTCATTCTCTTACCCATATACACAATTTTTGCCTGCTCGTACTACCACTCACTTTAGCATCGGAGTGCCTTGCAGATACCCCCCATCTCGTTCAACTTCAGCTCGGAGCCAGTCGTGACGGTCCAAATCTGATCCGGTAAGATCAATATATATATCGTGTCTCATCTTTGAAAATTTGGAATGCATAAAAGTTACAGTTGCAATCTAAGAGTGGTTCTATTAGATCAGGACAATAATGGTAGCAACTAGTGGTGAATCGTTGGGAGGTGTAATCGGTGTCTTCTGTCATATGATCAAAACTGAGGCCTTCGTTTCTATTTACAAAGGTTTAGTACCCTCCATTATCAGCATGACACCTTCAAGTCCTGTCTACTATGGTGTTTACGATATTTTAAAGTCAGCATATCTACATTCGCCCCCAAGGGAATGAAAAGAGTCCAATATATGAAAAAAGAGACTCAAGAGTTAAATGCTTTGGAACAACTGGAATTGGGCACCGTTAGAACTTTATTATATGGTGTTAATGCTGGTTTTAATTCACACATTTTATAGTTAGACATACTGGTCCATTGGATTATGCAGATGGTAATATTGTCATGAATATGAGACTCCAAGAAAAGATAATGAAACTTTGCTTTATTTCAGTGCACATGTGATTATAAATAAGCTTACATATAAGGTAAGTGGCAATCTTACATTATCTATAATCAAACCATTTTTGATTTTATATTTTAGACCCATTGTAGAGAGTTTAATTTTTAAGAAAGTTATGGGTATAATATAATTTTTATGAAGTTTATTCTTTGTTTTGTTGCAGACACCAGTCATGTTTCGTATGGAGGCTTTGAAGAGCATTAAGCTGTTTATCCAGAGCATTAAGCAGACTTCATAACAATTTGTATAGCCACTTTAGACAATTTAGGAGATATTTTAACATGTTTTATATGCAAGAATATAATCTAATTAAAAAAATTTAATGTTTAAGGTAAAAGTGCTTGGAGAGTGGTGTGGCAGTGGCTATAAAGAAAATTTTACAGGATAAGCCGTACAAAAATCGTGAGCTTCAGTTAATGCACGTGATGGATCACCTAAATGTAATTTCTTTAAAGCACCGTTTCTTCGCTACAACAAGCAGAGATAAACTGTTTCTGAACTTGGTGATGGAATATGTGCCTAAGACGATGTACAGAGTTCTAAATCACTATTATAACACCAACCAGATAATGCCCTTAATTTATGCTTAATTATATACATATCAAGTATGAAGTCTTTTCTATTTTCATTTTGGGTTGGGTATGTTGTTACTCTCCTACTCATGTGAAATTATGTTTTGATTTTGTTGGGACGTGATATTTAGATCTTTAGAGGACTGACATATCATACTGTATCGGGTGTTTGCCATAGGGATGTGAAATCCCAAAATCTATTGGTAAGTTATTTATTTGCTATTTTTTCCGTTGATGAGCTGCATTCTTTTATGATGCAACGATGGTGTTGCTTGGAGATGCATACAATTCATCAACAATGTGAAGTAAGTAATAAAATGATTTACCAACAAGTTTTTTTTTGTTAACAAAAGAATCAGTGTTGGACCTTTTTTCACTTACACTCTCATTTCATTGTCCTTTCAACGAAAGTTTGTCGCCTTTATGATATTGCAAATGTCCTAACCTCCATGAACCTTATTGAGAAGATGATATTCCTCGCGGTATTCATTTTATGTTTGTTTGTTCACTTGCTTATTGATTATTGCTAATTGTATAAATTTTTTACGCAAACTATGATTTTACAAATTGATGCAGACACATACCACTGATATATGAAAATAGGCATTCAGGTGGCTAAGCTTGAAAGGGAAAACATGGAACGAGGCATCTACTACTAAAAAAAAGACATTTGAGAAAAGGTTTTTACATCGGGTATCAAAATAGGTGATGTAAAAAATACAGTTAATAACTTTTTACATCAGGTATTTATTTCGAATGATATAAAAAATAAGGGAAAATTTTTTTTTCGTCACCTATTACATCGGGCAATCTCATCCACCGATGTAAAAGATTTCCAGAAAAAAACACGGTGGCATTTTTGTAAATAAGAAACAAGGTGACAAAAAAGTTAAAAAATATATAATCAATATATTACATCGGTTTAAATAAAAACCGATGTAAAAAATGTGCTTGAATTAATATATAAAATATATTGATAAATCATAAAAACGTGAGTTAAAAAAAAAAAGGTAAGCTATTACATCGGTTCGGACTCTCCACTGATGTAATAGCCCAACACGTATTTAAAAAAAAAAAAGCAACCTATTACATCGGTTGGAGTTTCCACCGATGTAATAGCCTAACAAGTATTTAAAAAAAAAAAAGCAACCTATTAAATCGGTGGAAGTTTCCACCGATGTAATAGCCTGAGAAGTATTTTAAAAAAAAAAGCAACCTATTACATCGGTTGGAGTTTCCACCGATGTAATAGCCTAACAAGTATTTAAAAAAAAAAAAAACAACCTATTAAATCGGTGGGAGTTTCCACCGATGTAATAGCCCAACCCCTTATTTCGGTGGGGGTTTCCACCGATGTAAAAAAGTGTAAACACTATTTTCATTTATACGTGAAAACTGTACAGTTTCCATTTCGACCCATTTTCGACCCATTTTCCACGACCGTCGCCGCTGCCATTATCGACCCATTTTCCACGACGCTGCCAACACCACTTCCGCGACGCCCGATTTCGCTCCGTTCCTCACCGTCGCCGCCCGATTCCGCTCCGTTCCTCACCGTCGCCGCCCGATTCGCTCCGTTCCTCGCCGTTTCAACGGCTCACCGTCGCCGCCCGATTCCTCCCGATTCCGTCGCTGTTTCAACTGCTTCCTCGTCGCCGTTTCAACTGTTTCCACCGTCTTCTGCAAATCATTCTGGGGTTTGTTCTAATTCTATTTCTTTTCTTTTTTGCATTTTCTTTTTCATTACAATTTCAGCATTTTTATGCATTTATGCTATGTTACATTACATATCAATATTATGCAGTTGGCTAGTATACGATAGTTTAAATTTCTATGGTTATTCCTTAAGATAAAGTTATACATGTTTATAGATACTAAACTTAGTAACTTTAACTAATGCAACAAGCTACTTGTTTCAAGAAAATATGGTGTATGTTAGTGTTTGTGCAGTGTGAAATTTCATGATCATGATGGTGAAGAGTGGAACATGAAGATTGTTATATTATTAAGTATTTACAGGTTCTGAGACAAAAATTGAATATATGGTGATCGTTTTGAAATTATTAGAAAAGGAAACCAGTGAGAATCAGTTATGTATTAGTGGTGCAAAGTGTAAAAATAATAACAATTAGTAATAAATTGTTAAATGAGAAATGTGTTTTTTCAAAATAATTGGATATTTTATTTGTTAAGAACAATGGTTTGAGAAAAACATATGGACAAGGTTTTGAAACTAATTATGTCATTCAATTGTAGACAATGCAACAACATAACTCTAATGATTGTGGATACTATGTGATGAAAAATATGTTGGATATTGTCTCTGCTAATATAACCGAGAATTGGATGCAGGTACTAAAAATAACTTTACTTTGTTCTTTACTTTTTGTTTTTCGACTTAATATGAATTTTTAAAAAATAACTCTATATTGTTATATTTATGTATTATAGGTATTTGATGACCCAACAGAATTAACACCAGATGATTTGTATGATTTGCGACTTCGTTGGGCAAAATGTTTCTTTGACTTACATGGAACTTAAGTTTAGCTTGGTGAGTTTTATAGAATTGTATAAGTTGTGGTTTTTGCACAATACATGTGGTTTTTGCTCATGTGTTGAGTTTCTTGATTTTTTTGCTGATGTTAATTGTTATTATTTATTGTCAGGCAATATGATTTTGGTGTTGTCTACCGAAGATTTTATATTGGTAATTCAAGTTTGGAAACTTAGAAATAGTTGAATATTTTAGTATATGTATATTTTGTGAATATTATGTAATTGTAAGTTTTGAAAAAGACTTATAAATAGTTGAATATTGTTTTATATTTTGTGAAGAATTTGTAATTGTAAGTTTGTATGTTGTAATACAATACAAGTTTGCAATACAATTGTTCAATTTGTTAGTTTGTTGTGAAAAATATGAAAACATCGTCCTAAATGTGATATATGTGATGTTGGAAAGCTATGAAATCTATATAGCGACATAAATATAGTCTGTTTGATATTGGAAAAATATGAAAAAATGGGTACAAATTATATTTGTATAGGGAAACCCAGGAAATAAATAATCTATTCCAAAAAAATTTCATACATTTTACATCGGTTATTAGTAAAACTGATGTAAAAACTTTCAAAAAGGGACTTTTTACATCGGTTGGAAGTAATACCCGATGTAAAAAGTCGCGTTACTGGGGACTTTTTACATCGGGTATTACTTCCAACCGATGTAAAAAACTGGATCAATTTTTTAAAAACTGTGCATAATAACAGGTTATTACATCGGTTCTGATATTATAACCGATGTAAAAAAGGAACTTTTTACATCGGACCCAAAACCGATGTAAAAAGTCAATTTTACCCGATGTAAAAAGTCATTTCTGCACTAGCGCTTTACAATTCACATCAAAATCAGACTAAAAAGCGGGCATTTGGAAATGATGTGACAAACATTAGCTTCATGATGAATAATATCGATTTGTTCATGGGCGGAGACATGGAAAATGATAGCGGGCTTGGTCCTGAAGACAAAAAGCAGACTTCATATCAATTTGGTCTTTTGCTCCGGCATGATTGGAAGAGTCAAGCAACTGAACATTCCCTTCCGTATAATAATCAAGACAATTAATTAAGTACTTTAATCTTTTGAACAAATATTAAAAAGGATAATTTTCTTTTGAAATATGTAATCTTTAAACAAGTGAGTTGATTATTTAAATATGTTAATGAAAATTATTAAACTGATGTATTGTTATGATTTGCTATTGATGCAGCTTTGAAAGAACTTTACTCCCATTATATAGAAGCGGAAATCTTGGTACTTGAAGTTCTGGCTAGGGGTGCGTAAAAAAACTGATTTACACGAACCAATTTTAAAAATTCAGTGCACCAATTTTTATTATCCAATTTGTGTTGGACGTAAACAGTTTCAGATTCATTTTGATATCAAAACAAAAATCTGGTTTCCATTTTTGATAACTAGTTGTCATACATAAAACCAAATATACATAAAACCAAATGTATATGATATTATTATTAATGAATAAGATATTATTAAGGCACATGAAATTCAAATTCATGTAAACCAATTTATATAATATTCTAATTGAAAATGGAAAACTAGTTTATATATTTTATTTTATTTATTATTAATTAGTTAATTAGAATGGTGATTAGTTAAAGGAAGAATAACTTATTAAGTTAATTGTGATGAACGATTGTTAATCTGTGTTTTTTTTTTCTTCTTGGTTTTAGGATGTTTTGTTTTAGTTTTTTCGAGTTCTAGTTTTATTGTTCTCGTGCAACTTTATTATACATTAAAGTGTAATGTTTTTACTTTTAAATTGAATTTTCCTTTTTTGTTTTTCAAAAAAATTGTGAAAAACGATTTGCGCTGGTGTTTGAATATAATAGTATAAAAATGACACATGCATTTACATCTTATTCCCTTCATTAACCTGAATTTTTTTCGTCTATTTAAATTAAGAAAGATATAATTTCGTTATAAATCAATTTTGATTGAAAACCGGTTTAAACCGGTTTTGAACCAAATTGAAACCATTTTACAATTTTAAATTAGTTATTATAAAAAATAGTTTAATTTTAAAACTAAAACCATTAAAATGGATTGGTTCTTAAAATTTGATAACCATGGACACCTCTACTTCTAACAATAAGTCAACACATATTTTGTAACTTATATGTCCAACATAATCAAATAAAATAGCTTTTCCCAAAAGAGATTATCCATTGTAAGATGCATTTTAGATGTACCAACTTAGAGCTACAATTTATGTTTTTCTCTTCTTCCTTGGCCTGATATCAAGTTAGGCTATATTTGGAATTTCTTATATTATACATTTTTAGTGTTTACCAAAGTTTCAACCATTATATTACTGTTGTGTGAGTTTTCTGAGTTTGTTTGTAAAAAAGAGCTCAATCTTCATGAACTCATGTTGTTTGAAAAAGTTTGTACTGATGTGTAGTTTTTTGGCTGTGTTCATGTTTTGTGTGCAGGATGATGAAATTATGGTATTGGTTTAAATTGATGGAATTTTGTGTATGGTATAAGAGTGGATGTTTGGCAAGAGTGAAAGTTATGGTTTGTGAGAATACGGAGCAAGAGTGAAAGTTATGGTTTGTGAGAATACAAAGTGTTTTCGTTGAATGGTATTTATTATAGCATTTTATTATAATGAAAAATAAAATTTTATTTCTATTTTTATAATATAATAAAAATAAATTATCTTTTTATTCATAAAATTTTATAATATAATAAAAATTAATTTTTTATTAATAATTTTTTTATCTATATAATATTTATTTTAATTAGTTAGAATATTTACTTTACTTGACACTAAATTAACTAGACAATAAAATAATAAATTCAAATATTTATCATTAATGTGTGATATTTATTTATAAACATGATTAAATATGAGACACATATTTGTCATTATTGAATAAATAAATTTAAGATGATATGAAAAAAAATTTATAAACAAGAAAAATTCAATTAGTGATACACTTTTTTTATAAACAGAAATAAGTAATAAATATTTTTATAAACGGAAAAATATTTACTGTTAAGACAATTATTTTTATAAACAAGAAAAGTTTACTGTTCATACAATTATATTTATAAACGAGAGTAAATTATAAATATTTTTATAAGCGAGAAAAATAAATTGTTGATACAATTGTTTTTATAAATATGAATAAGTTAAAATATTTTTATAAACAAGAAAAATCTATTGTTGATACAATTATTTTTATAAACAAGAATAAGTTACAAATGTTATTTTAAATGCAAAAAATCTACTATGAATAACGTATAATGTATATGTCAAAACGGATAGATGTGAACGTATTTATGAGATGTTAGTCGTAGACTGTTCATTTTAATGTTAATTTCTAAATTTTTTCTATTGTTGTTTATATAGTTCAAGTTAAAAAATCAACTGTATGATTTAATTATAAGTACACATCAATATTTAAAAGTGAATGCATATTATGTGAATGTCAACCAATTAAATTATGAATTTATATATTATATGATGTTGTGTAAATGTATAATGTGAATTTAGACCAGATCCGTGCGATAACTCGAATTTCTTACTATTATTTAGTTAAAAAGAATTAGTAAATTGAGAATGGGTGGATTTCAAATACTTCAGAAACAACAAATGACCCATTGCCGCACAGTAAACTTGATGACATTGTTTTGACCAACTACCATTGATTTGTACCTGTGTTATTCTTTTTATTCTCTTTATTTAACTTTATTAGAGGGTAATTTAGTATTTGTCATATGTAGGATATTCCCTTTAGGCCCTATGTGGCATTCTTATCTTTGCTACTTTGTGTATAAATAGGTGTACTAGGTTTACGTTTAATAAAAAAACAATTCCTTCAATCATCAGTGGCAGCTTTTAGCATTTATTCCTTTTCTCTCTTCTTCCTCAATTTCATCACCTTGCACTAACAAATTGGTATCTAGAGCTCTTGGTTTATTCTGAAATTCTGGGAAACACGAGTGATAGTGAGCTGTGTGTTTGATTTTTGAATCTTGAACAAAAATCTGAAACAAAATCACACTGATTTTGTGGGTTTGAGAAACACTGAGTGAGAAATATGAGATCTGAGTTTTTGTGCAAGGTTTAAGATGAATGGAGGCAGTAGTTTGAACACTAAACTTCTAGTTTTTTATGGCAAAAACTGGAACAGATGGAAGATACAAATGCGTGTGCTGTTTGGTGCTCAGGATGTTCTGGATCTTGTTTCTGAAGGTTATGTTCCAGTTGCAGCAGATGCTACTGAAGAACAAAAATCAGAAGAAAGAGTTGTGAGGAAGAGGGATCAGAAAGCTCTGTTCTTTATTCATCAGTGTGTGGATGAAAATGTGTTTGAGAAGATTGTTGATTCGACGACGTCGAAAGGGGCATGGGATATACTGACCAGATGTTATGGTGGTGACGTATCAGTAAAGAAGGTAAAGCTTCAGTCCCTGCGAAAACAATATGAAAATCTCAGCATGAAAAACAGTGAGAAAGTTTCTGAGTACATCTCCAGAATGATTCTGATCACTAATGAAATGAAGGCTTGTGGAGAAACACTTTCTGAACAGGTAATCATAGAAAAGATTCTGAGGTCACTTACTTCTCAGTTTGATTACATTGTTGTTTCAATTGAACATTCTAAAAATCTGGAAACCATGAGAATAAAAGAGTTGCAAAGCAGTCTAGAAGCGCAAGAGTTACGTCTGACTGAAAGAACTTCTGAGAGGGAAGTGGAGCAGGCTCTGAAAGCCTCTTTTGTCAAGAAGGACCAGAAGCATAATAGACATGGTGATAAATTCCAGAAGTCAGAAACCTCAACTTCTGATGAAAAGAAATATCAGAAGGGAAAGGAAAGGTATGACAAGAAGAAGGTTCAATATTACTGTTGTAAACAGTTTGGCCATTTTGCCAGAGACTGTAGAAACAGAGGAAGGAAATCAGAAGAAGCAAATATAGCCAGAGAAGATTCTGATGATGAACTTGTGCTACTGATGGCTTCTGATTCTGATGGAAACTGTTCAGGAGATTGGTGTTATATGGACACTGGCTGTTCAAACCACTTGACTGGGAACAAACAATGGCTGATAGACTTTGACTCCAGAAGGAGAACAAAGATCAGATGTGCTGATGATAAGTACCTTAATGCAGAAGGTATGGGAAATGTTAGAGTCAGAGTGAAGAATGGAAAAAAACATTCTGATCAAAGATGTTTGGTATGTTCCTGGAATTAAAAGCAATCTGATGAGTGTGGGTCAACTTATTGAGAAAGGTTTTTCAGTGGTTATGAAGGACAACCTCTTGACGTTGTATGATTCTAATCAGAAGTTGATTATGAAGTCTGAGCAGGAAAGCAATAGAACATTCAAGGTGAATGTAGAAACTTATGAAGCGGAGTGTCTTAGTGCAGAAGGCGCTGAAGCTGACAGTAAACTGTGGCACAAGAGGTTGGGGCACTTGAACTATAGAAGCTTAGGGCATCTAAGTTCTAAGAAGCTTGTACATGGCATTTCGAAAATTGTGAAGCCTCAGAAGTTATGTGAGATATGCATGAAAGGCAAGTAACCCAGATTGCCATTTGCATCAGAAGTAGCCCCCAGAGCAAAGCATGCTCTGGGAGTAGTACATTCTGATGTGTGTGGACCATTTCCAGTACCTTCACTTGGAGGAAACAATTTTTTTGTGTCTTTTGTGGATGAGTTCACAAGAATGACATGGGTAACACTCATCAAGTTCAAGCATGAAGTGTTTACTGAGTTCCAGAAGTTCAAGGTGAAGGCTGAGAAGCAGAGTGGTCAGAAGCTGAAGATTCTGAGAACATATGGTGGAGGTGAGTATAACTCTACAGAGTTCCAAAAGTTTTGTGAGGAGAATGGAATAGAACATGAGGTTACTGCTCCATATACTCCTCAGCACAACGGTCTTGCTGAAAGAAGAAACAGAACTTTGCTTGATATGACCAGAAGTATGCTGAAAGAGAAGAAGTTACCTCACATGTTATGGGGAGAAGTTGTTGCCACATCAGCATATGTTCCGAATAGGTGTCCAACAAAGAAGCTGAAGGAAACTGTTC